GCGGGCTGAGTTAAGACTTTGTGTCTTGCTCCACAGAAACTGCAAACTAAACAAAATACCTGTGCACTGGAGAGTGGACTGGTCTTCACCAACAAGCAGAAAGGAGGCAAAACAAACAACAAGAGATGACAGGAGCTGTAAGGCAGAGGGATTGAGCATAGTGCAACAGAAATAATCATGCACATGACATGAAAGTTCACAGCAAAGATGAAGACTTGGGACTTGGAGACTTTGGGAGGTATGTGGTAATGCCATACACTGCAAGACTTTGAACATTGGAACTGTGGGCACATTTTAGGTCAGATTTCCATTTATAAAAAGGGATTTTCTGTGTTTTCCTGCTTGAGAATGACACTGAGAAGATTAAAAAAGTAAGAAAGAGGAGGTGGTGACAAAAGAATGGCAATGGTGACCGAAGATGTGGACATATCTAAGGTAGATTAATATAGGTTAGGATACGAAATTTAACTAGGATTAGTAGGAGATGCTAAAAAAAAATTAAATTTAAAAGTTAAAAATTAAAATATTTGTTAATAAATTATCTCCCTTTCACTGCAGACTACATCTGTTCCTTCACTTCCAAAGACCTCTTTCCAAGGGAAATCAGCTATAACACCACACTTACAACAGTACTTTTTAGAAGCCGAGCTGCCTCTAACAAACTCTGAAGCAGGCACATGTGAGATGGGTGCTCTCATCAAGCACAGAGTCCTCACCCAGGTGTCTTTTGTCTGCCAGCCCCATGTTGTGGAGCCTGTTCTCGCAGGTGCTTTATCCCATCATTTAAATGCTGCTTTAGACAACATTTTTTTTCCTCTTTTTGATTGATGTCCAGCCCAGCACATTATCCCTTCCTTTAAATTGATGTCACTTTCTTTAAGAGCCTAAGCATTACTCTAAACTGTGTTTTAATTGCTATTTATATGTCCCTCAAGTGTGCAGAACCATGAATTGTTCAGCAAAGGCCAGGACACTTTATAAATAAAATCCTCACTTGCTACTGAGAATGATAATATTAGCTGGCAGCATCTGGATACACTTTCAAAGTGAAAATTTTACTTCTACAAGGCAAGACTAAAACCACAGATGGCACAAGCTAGCATGAAGCCTGCAAAAAGCCTTTTTTTCCCCCTCCTGTTCTTCGAATACCATTGTAAGTCAGTGAGTGGGAGGAAAGTTAAAGCTTGCATACATCCCAGCATGCCAACCCATGCCCTACTGAGATACTTGACTGTCTAGTGCTTCTAAGCAGCTGGAAAAATGTCAAACTGTCATCACTGATTAAAATGGGATTTTATAGAAAGCATCATACATATTGTCAGAATTCTAGACTTATTTCACATGATGGAAATACAAAGAGTTGCTAATTTTGCCTCAAAACAGATTTTCTTCATGTTTCCCTCTTTATTCTGCCAGTATTTACTCCAAGGCCATACATATCCAGTAGTTATGGACACCATCTTGCTTCAGAGATTTGGGGATTTACCCACCATGATTTTTCACTAGGAAGCCTGTACTCCTCAACAGCCTGGAATCATACAAGTGTCTGCACATCAACACTTCGGCCATTTGCTGTCTCCAGGCCCATTCCTGAGCACTTGAGAGCTCAGTGCCAGTGATTTTGATCTCCATAGCTCACCTGCAGTTCCCTGCCTTTCCCTCCCTTATCTGAGGAAGTAACTAGCTCTGTTATTCCAAATACCTTGTTTAAGATAAGAAGACCACATTACCAAGGACACACTGTATTAGCCTTCACTACTTGACACAGACTTTTGGATTGACAACTCAATTCCACTTGAATTCCTTCTTTTGCCATCATGAGATCTACCATTATTTTGATTCCCTAACCCTGAGAGGAAGAGCAAGAATGACACTGTTTCACCTGTACTTTGTTAGGTGGCAAAGTTTGTGTGGTATGCAATCTGCTCCTACTTGTGTGTGCAAAGGTGGCATCAGCCAACCTTGTTGATATTCACTTAACCAAAACTTTCATGTAACAAGGCCTTGAAGATACTTGATGCTGAGCATGGTAAGGGGAAACCTGACAAGTAGGAGATGGCACCTGGTTCTAGTGATGTTACAGAAAGGGACAAGTAAAGCTTCTGTGCCCCAGGCTACCACTGCACTACCAGCCTAAGATGTAGCCAGCCACCCAGAGCTGGTGATAATGGGCAAGAAAGTCTGAGTGATGCTCCACACAGGCCCCTGCTCCTTGCCACAGGGCTGCCTGCAGCAGTTGTCCCCTTGTTAAAGGATTAATCACTTACAGGTTCAGCAAGCTTGGTGCTTGGTGCTTCTCAGTACCACCAGAAAGACAGCATTAAGCACAGCACGTCATGTGGCACATCTTATGAGGCAAAGATTTTGCAGAAGCTGCAACAGGGACTTGACCCTCTCTTGCATGGCCATGACCCCTCCCTCAGAACAACCTCCCTAGGGCCCCAGCTGCTGTGTACAGCCTCCTGCGCTGGGACAGGCTTTTCTACCTACAGAATCTCCATGGTCTTTGGTGTCAAGGCAGAGAACACAGATGAACAAATCCCCATACAAGAGCCATGAAACACCCAGAACAGCAACAACAAGTACACTGAGGAGCTTGCCTGGGTCAGAGATTAAATACCCCGGGTAGGGCTGGGATTGGCCAGAGGGTCTGGTTAGGTGGATGCAGGGGTTTGGTGGAGAGCAGTACTCTTTGTGTAGGGATTGGTCAGCAGCAGTGCTGTAGGGAGAGCCCCAAGACCTGCTGGGAGTCCTATGGAGCACTCCAGTGCAGTCCCCAGCTCCACAAGGTCACCTCTGGCACCCACTGTAGTACCCAGCTTCATGGTGTGATGCCATCCCCAATGCAGTCCCCAGCCCCACAGGGTGACCCTGTCCCCCCTCTGCTGCACTCAAGGTCAAGGGTGACGCCAGCTCTGCAGTCCCCAGGCAAGGGCCTGAGCCCAGATGTCCCACCCAGGGCAGTCCCCTGCCCCATGGTGGGTCACCTCCAAGGCCATGCAGCAGGCTCACAACTCCAACTCCATATAAAGGCAGAAGTAATGCTGGTGGGAGACAATGGTGAAGCAAGTTCAAGCAGAGCAAGCTGGGTATTGAGCCAGGCTTTCTGAATAGCAATTTTGCCTTAAAAAAGCTTCCCCACTTGCACTGATGGTCCAGGCCAGGTCCTTAAGTCTTCTTGCAAAGCCTGTCCTCCTTGTGCTCCCCTGAGCACACAGTGAGGCCCTGGGAAGAACAGCCCGCAGGGACACCAGCGCCAGCTCCCTGCTATCCCCCTGCCATCCCTCTGCCATCCTGGACCACATCACCCTGGGGGACACAAGACGGAAGCAAACCTGGATTGCCTCCACTGACATTTATGCTGGGAGGTCAGAGAGTTAATCAGCTCATCTTGGAAGAAATGGGACCAGTTAGTAAGAGACACCAACAATGCATCACAAAAATATAAGCTCTGTCATAGCAGTTATTATTCCTTTTTCTTTTTAGCCAGTTACTGCATCACTCTGAGTGATAGGAAATGGCCTGTGTGTGGAAAATAAAGTGACCTTGCTGTAAACCCTTCCAAACAGAACAAAACTATGTAAAAGCAGCCCTCCACACAGCATTCCTGCAACCCTCTGCACCAGTGGTTAAACCTCAGCCTAACCCAGATCTCTGGAGAAAACAGAAGGTCAAAAAGTTAATTTTTCTCACCTGGACAGCACTTTATTGTTTTCGACCTCTCCTGGGATAGACTGCAATCAGGCAAAGGTGTGAAGAGAAATAGCTGTAGACTGACCATTTCTCGAAATGAATAATCACAACAAATTCGACAGAGCAAGAACTCTTTAAATATCACAGATATTAGAGCCTCTTGTAAACAAAGGGCTTCCAAATATAATAGCCAGAAAGATGATGTTCAACCCTGTAAGGCAAACACACTGATTGTAATGTAAAATGAATACTTAAAAATCTGTACAAAGCTTTTTTGCTCTGTTCCAGCACTGAGCCCACTGAATCAACAAGTGATGGGCAATGCTGTAGTCCCAGCCCATCCCAAGGAGTATGACCTAAAGCCAACAGCCTCAAGTGCATGGGCACACTCACAGTTCACAGGATGTCTCTCACAGGAGACATAAACGCTGGATTTGGGAGAGGTTTCAGCATTACCCAGCCCTGCACATAACACAGGGGAACCACCCCACCCGTGCACCCTGTGCTGCCCCTTCTTTAGTCACAGTATTTTTATTGGGTTCAGCCCATTGAAGTGGTTTAATGAGACAGCTCAGGAGCTTTGCTAAGCTGAGGTCCTGCTGCCCATCCAGCCCAGCCCCTAAGGAATCAGCCAGACCAGAGGAATCTGGGGCCACATTTGGATATTCTGGGACACACTCGGCCAAAGATGACTCCCTAGAGTCTAAGGGGACTCATAGGAATGCAAGGTGGTTTTCAGTGGGATTAATTTCTTCCAGAATTATTCTCAGTCTGAAAGTGTATTTTTAAACCTGTGATCAAAGTTTTAAGGCTTGGTTGTAAATCCTCAAACTAACAACAATGCAGATAACACTCTGTCCCCATAAACATGTCCCTGTAGAGAGGTTTTACCAGATACATCAAACTGTCCATACACACTAATCAAGTTATCAGCAAACATAGCTTCTTGTCCATATTTCCTTAAATCATACACCTTTAGCACATTTGCTGATACTAAAGTATTAGGCAACCACTTTTTTATTACTGTGAAAAGCAAATATTGACTGAGCATGGAGGTATGGTAAATAAATTACATTTACCCTGACAAAGTGTTCATTGCCTTCGCTAATTACACACATGAAAAACATTTAGTCTGGTTATTCAAGAGCTGGATAAATAGGCTTAACAGTTACTGAGACAGCACTATGAAAAATAAAAATGCGTCTTCAAAAATTAAAGAGGAAATAGTGTTATTCCCACCCATACATGGCTGTGATTGTATTCAATACAAGGAGTTATCATTTGAAATTATAAATAATTTATTACTA